GGCGAAGTAGTGACTAAACCATACGTTAAAGAGCACAAGGGAAATTTATTTCAAGTTGAACAAGTTGTGATTTGCATAAAGTTAGTTTTCATTCAATGAATCTTACCCAATTATGGAAAACGTTATGGAATAATATATATGTTTACACTTTCTAAATATAAGGTTTCTCAGTTTATCATCAAATGCAACAACTTTTTTTTTTATTCCACAGTTTTATTACATATGAAAAGGGCTTATGCTATTTAGAACTCTTGAGCTAAATTGCATTTGCTTACAAGCATCATATGTATAAAATCTTCTGCATATATTTGATTGAAAATATATATAGCCTAAAATACTAGAAATGATTACCAAAAACAACTTAAAGGAATATACCAAAAAATTTGAGAAGCAATTATAGCCATAATCAAAAGGAATAAAAAAGATGATACCTTGTAACGATTGACGAGATTCTTCCACTTACATTTGCACTGGTCGGGAGTCCTGCGGTATCCTCTTTCTCTCATTTTAGCACTTACAATCTCCCAAAGCGCCTTATTCCTCTTTGCGATGGTGAAATCTTTCTCCAGCTCCCCTCGAATCCCAATCAAGTCCTTCGTCTCTTGTTCCGTCCACTGTAGCTGTTGCTGCTGTGAGACCCTTTCTCTTGACACTGACGGCGACATCTCCTCCGTTGGACTCACCATTGTTGATGCCGCCGGTATGCTTACCGACGGCCGGAAGGAATTGTTGTTCCCGCCTCTATACATCAATAAATTAACGTTCTACAATACCGTATTAGGGTTTTTCAGATTCTTTCACCACTCTCTCATTTAAGTTTATAATAATAATAACAAGCGCATATTCTTTCTTACAAGAGCGGTATCTATTTTCATGAGTGAAGGATGGGTTGAAGAAACTGGCCATCGTTTTTGCTTCATTTCACAATTTTTGCCATTACCAAAAAGTTACTGTTTTATGGTTAAATGAAAATACAGCCTGAATGTTGGTTATTTTTGTAATTTAATCATTTATTTTTTTCAGTGACGGTGGAGTTCATATTGTGACACTATTAGCACCACATCACCGCCCCATGTTAGAAAAAAAAGGTTAAATTACTAGAAAAATCTGATTTTAGCTGTATTCGCAATTTTAATCAATCTATTCTTTTAATTCAGCCATTGATTTTCTGAATTTATTTATTTATTTATTTTTAATTTTTTTATAATTATTTAATTTTAAAATTTATTATTTTTAAAACAAGTTATTTTCGATTACAAAAATTTTATTTTTTATATTTCAAAAATTTCGAATTTAAGTTGAATTGGAAAATATAGAATATATTTATGTGTTATAATGTTATTTTAGTATTTTGAAATTAAATTGTTGTTTTTTATATAAGTGTATTAATTATTAATTAAGTGAAATAATTAAATAATAAAATTTACATGGTAGACTAATTAACTGTAATTTGAAGACTCATTTAAGAAAAAATAAATTTTACATGATTAAACAATAATTAATTATGTGTTAAGTATGTATAAACAAATCACATGATATTGTCAAAATAAAAAAAAAAAAAAAAAAAAACAATAATTAAAAATTAAATGTGTTAAGGTATGTATAACAAATTCGGACATGATATTGTCAAATAAAAAAAAAGAAAGAAAAAAAAAAAGCGCTAATAAATAGCAAAAACAGAAACCAAAAGTTCCAAAGTTTTTTTAAAAAAAAAAAAAAAAAAAAAAGCTAAAATAGCAAAAACAACCAAAAGTTCAAGTTTTTTTCTTTATCGTTTAGCCTTTTTTTATGTAGCATGGTGATGTGGTATTAATGTGTCAAAATATGGAACTTATAGCATAAATTCACTGTAAGAATTGTCAAAATTATAAAAAAATTATAAACTTACAAAAATAAATAAATTCAATTTTTGTTTTTGTTATTTGGCCTTTTAATTTACCTAATTGACTCTCTTCCTCTCCCTTTTGTATTTTGTTTTTGATAATTTCTCTATTCAGCAACCACCTTGACACAGTATTTAGGGTCATCACTATTTCTATTATTTTATAATGCTTAATTGTGCAGCTTTTATGTTAGTGTTTAGAATTTATAAGTAAATTATAGAATGTTGCTCCTTTTAGTCTTATTAAGGAAAATTAGTTGGTTAAATAGTTAATTTGTATTTATATTTGAACTTCAATGACCTTGTGATCGTTTTATTTGTAGTTAAAAACAATATTTCAATCAAATATTATTTTAAAAAAATTTAATTAGTATTTTTATTTATATGACACATTAAAAAAATTAATATAACATCATATATATAAAAACAATTAATATAACAGTAATTGCTACCGAAATTTTCTCAAATACTAACGCTCATCCATTAATTACTATTATTAACTAATATAAACAACTAAGCTAAATGAATCATAAAATAAATAATTTTATCGAATAAATATAAAATAATATTTGTGCCCGTACTTACAAAATAAATAAACAAAAATATGCTTTCCTAAAAAATTATTTTTAATATATATTTCCTCAAAAATTTTATTTTAAGTTTTAACCGATTTTTTAATTTCAACAAAAAAAAAATTCAACCGGTTACCCTAATTGTGCGGCTTAGTGAGCTTAGACCAAAATCAACAAAAGAAAAAACTACAGTATGATCTCGTGATTTGTAAAATATAATTAGTTCGTCCGTATGCATTGGAAATAAACTAAAATTTCCGAAATAATTTTACTGGTAGTCCCTCCACTTAGGACCTCCACTAGTGTTGACCTTCGGCCAATTCCGATCGGTTTAAGTAAAATTTTTAAAAGAATTTTTTTGTGACTTAACCGAATTTAATCAAATTAATTTTTTAACTGAACTGAATTGAACCATTTTTGATCGAATTAATTTTCATCGTTAACCGAACAGAAATTAAAGAAAATGAAAACTTAATTAGTAAATCGAATTTAATCGAAATTTATGATTAACCAACTTTAACTGAAATAAAAACTAATCGAAATTATTAATCACTATTTAATTAAAATAAAAACTGAAATATTTTTAATTTTATTATTTACTTAATCAAAACGATGTAGTTTTAAAATTCGATTAATTTGATTAATTCAGTTAAATTAAATTATTTTTAATTTTATTATTTACTTAATCAAAACGATGTAGTTTTAAAATTCGATTAATTTGATTAATTCAGTTAAATTAAATTTTAATCGAATTTTTAACCAATCTATCGAAATTTTAAATTTCTTTAACTGAAGTTTTAACCGAATATTTTTTCACCGAAATTAATTGGCTGAATTAATCAAATTGGTTGAACCGAATGGTCACCCCTCATCTCGGCACTTAATTGGGCTTACACTTCTATTCGTAACTTTAAAATGCTTCGACTTTAATTCTATAACATTGAAAATGTCTTTGACCGATTTAATTAATTACACGTGGCATATAAAAAAAATTAAAACAGTTTAGGTGGCGTATTACTTTTTTTTTTGTTTTAAAAATACTTTTAAATAGTAAAAAAAATTAAAATTTAATTGATATAGTATAGATATAGATTAATACCATACCCAAATTTTAGCTTAACTGCTCTTTTTATTCCCTAAACGTGTGTAGCGGTTGTTAAAAATTCACAGCATTAATTAAAAATTAAAACAAAAAATAAAAATAATTATCTAGTAATTGAAGCATGAAACTTTAACCATTTGTCTGTACCCCAATGATCCAGTGACCTTACTATTTTGCCAACAAATAAAATTAATTTAATTTGAGTAAATGGTAAAACCTTTCTATTATTATAAATTTACAGCTTAAAACCTAAATAAATTAATAATGTATTTCTTAAAACCATTAATAAATTTTTAGATTTACCAAAGAATATAATTTAATTTTTAATCATTATTTAATTTCAGGTAAGTAATGTAAATTAAGTAATTTATTTTTTAAGTAATAAAAAACATTATTTTTTTAAAGAATACTTTTAAGTAATAAAAAAATAAAATTTACAAATAATTAATTGATTTATTTTAATTTTTTATTACAAAAGTATTTTTAAAATAAAAAATATAATATGCCACATAAACAGTATTTTCATTTTTATATGCCACATGTCATGCCATTTGGCAATCCGCGTTGAAAAATTAATTAAAATGGCCAGACATTTAAGTGTTACAAAATTAACTATGAACATTTTTAAGTTACAAATTGAAGTGTAGACACAATTAAGTACATAGGTTTTAAGTTGAGAGACCACCAATAAAATTAACACAAAATTTTTTTATAGTTTATTTCCGTCAGATTATAAATCTTTTCATTCAATTTTTATATTTTTTTTATTAAGTACTATATGAAATGATAAAAATATTATTTTATTTTAAAAAACATAGGAACAGACTAGATGTATTTTTAAAATATAGAAACTATATTTTAATTTTTCTGATATAATATTTTAGGATCTCTCTTTTAATCTCGTGTCTTCTTATTGCTTAATGAAAAAGATACAAAATTAGACAAAAGAATCTAATAATACAGAAGCAAAATATAAAGATAAATTGATATATTTAAAAAAAAAAGAGCGGATAATACTAGTTGTAATTCAAAACTACGAGATTTATTGTAATTTTTTTCTTAACAAAAAAAGGATGACGTCATCGTACGTTAATAACCGGGTGGAATCCAAACCCTACCCAATTTCATTTCCGAATTCAACATTGTCATTCTACGATCATCTTATGGTCTCGTTGCCCAGCAGAGCCAGGTTTCTGTAACGCTAGATTCAATCGACCATTGCCTGCTTAATCTCGCAAGGTTAGTTTCTGTATTTCTTTCACAAATTTCTTATCCCTGATTAGTATATTAACAGTCAGTTTATGTGCTTTTAGATTTAGGGTTCGATTTATAATTCGTTTATTGTGTTTCTGGTTGAGGTTTGTGATATTCCTAATTGGGTGTCGCTCAATATGGCCTTTATCTGCTCGTGTATGGTGATTTTGTTGATCTGCCCTTTTATGTCTGTGATTCTCTGTTTTGATTGGATTTTAGATGAATATTCGGAAAAAAATTACATGATTTTTAAGAAATAGGGTTCCATTCTTTCATTTACGGCTTACTCCACCACCTCCGTTCCTTCATCCACCGTTTACTCTTTCTTATCATTCATAGATTGCTTGGTTCACAGGTACATATTCCCTTTATTTTTTAATCTGTTCTGTTTTATGTTTTTTTAGGATTTGCTTCTTCTTTTTTTTTTTTTTTTTTTTTTTTTTTTTTATTTGTTTGATGGGCTTAATTAGGGATAATTGGAGCATATAGGGTTAATGTTTAACTATTTGAAATAGTTTTTTTTTTTTTTTTTTTTTTTTTTTTGGATTTATTTGTGATGGGCTAATAGGGATAATTGAGCAATATAGGTTGTTAATTTAACATTTGAAATAGATTGCTTTTCAAAACTATGAAAAGAAAAAGATCTAAAATATGTGAAACATATGCTTTTAACTAAATATTGAAGTTACCTGTTGATTGAAGTCCTTTACTTCAATTAATTCGGGCATGGTAAATTACTAAGAGTGGAATGATTTTTGGAAAGTGCTTGTGAAATTCCTGAAAGAAGAGGGAATTAATTAGGTGAATGACTAGATTGACTGATGTCAGGGAAGGGTGGGGGAGAGGCGAGTTTTTGTAAGGGACATAAAGGCAACTGGTCTCTTTTTCTTGGCATGATCTACACCCAATTTAAGCATGTGGATTCCACTTGATGAAGCTTTGGTTCTCCTGTATCTTCTTGTTGTGCACTGGGGAGTGACATGGATATCCTCCCTGCTCTAGTTCTTGGGATTTGATTTCTTAGTTTGATTCCTATTGCTTGATGATATCATGTTTCTACTTTCTGGTATCATTATAAAATTTAAACATGTCCTTTTCTGTCCGTCCTAAATGTTTCTCCTCTCTCTCTCTCTCTCTCTCTCTTTCTATATATATATATATATCAAGCCTAATAACTCTAGGTTTTGAATGTCATCTCATTCTCATGATTCTTAATCAAACTGAGCCGCTCTCATTCCTACTCTCACCAGTCACCATACTTTTTTTTAAAAAAAAAAAATCTCATCATTTGAATCTCATTGCTTGAATCTAATACTGCTAATCTCACCAGTGTCTTCTTGTATGATTTTCTTCTTTTTGATTTTAGATTATATTTTTTATCTGATGCTATGCCTTAAACAAATTTGGCCTTTTTCATGCTGTCATTGTTTGGTCATGCTATTGGTATGCTTTTTCCCTCCTTGTTTTTCTTGTTTTAAGACATTTCTTGTACTGTGTTTTGTTACTAATTTCATTGCTATAGTTTTGGTGAATATGATACTTCTTATAATCCTATGTAATTACAGTTCTGATGGAAAAAATCTCTATGATTTTTATTTTTAAATTTTAGAAATTCTTGGTAATTGAACTTTTATTCTTGCAAAACTTTTCTTCCATTTCTATATTCAATTATTCATGCACCAGAGGATGTTTCTTTTTTTGGGTAATGAAATTAACCCATTTTTCTATTTAGAATGACTTGTGCGGATAAATTTATCTTACATTGCTCGGTTCTGCTAATTTTTTCTTTTTCTCCTTGCAATGAATTAAGGCTTTTTTCTTTTTTCCTAAAAACCACTACTATTATAGACTTTTCATCCTTATTAGATATTTTAATCCCATTCTTTTTAACAATGTGTTGAACTCTTTTCCGCTATCCCATAAAGTTTATCCATTATTCCATTTTGGGATATTCCAAAATAATTGGCCAGTTTTATTTATAGTATGCACTTAAATTTTTTTTCCCATTTTACCCTTCAATAAATTCACTTTTACATGTAGTTTCATTGCATCTTATGTGAATTAGGAATGGCAATGGTAGGGTTCGGGTCGGGTAGTGCAATAACCAAACGCAAACCCAATCCATTCTCAATCCCTATGTCCTACCCAATACCCTATCGGGTAGGGAATGTTATACTCATCTCTGAATCCAGTGGGTTTGGATATACCCACGGGTACTCGTTATGCATAGTTAATCATGGGTATCGATAGTGTTTTTAGAATCGTATGATTCACGATTCAAATCGTACGATTCGTATCGAATCTAATGGAAAATGATATGAATCTTATTGTAGAATGAGAAAGAAGCCTGAATCGATCGAATCAATTGGAAAAAAGTAAAATAAAAGAAAATTGTACCATGCATTGTCTAATCTATGTTTGTTTATTGAGAAACAAGTAGAAAATAGAAGAGAGAACATATACGAAGAGAGGAGGAGAACGAGAAATAAAACAGAGAATTTGAACAGATATTACTATAGGATAAATGACTAATTTTTTCATATATGCATAGTAGACTATTTGTAGCGCACTTTAATCACTGTCACATCACAAGGGAACAAAATATTTCCATTTAAGTCCAAACTAATTCACTCAGTTACTATTATATTCTCTGCAATTACAATCAGGTAATGACATATTATATGTCATTCAATTCAATTTTATTTTATGATTTGCATTTGGATTTTTAATATTTTTTGAATAAAATTAATAAGTTTTAGTTGAACAATCGAATCTTATGATATGATTCGATTCTCGATTCTCAATTCAAAAAAATAGGGATTTCAATTTTCGATTTGACAACTATGGGTATTGATTACCCACGGACCCTCGTTTATCCACTTACTCATATTGTTTAAAAATTAAATTATATAAAATAAAAAATTAATATGAAAATATGAAATACCTAAAAAAATATGAAAATAAATTAATATATAAATAAATATTCGAACAATGATAAATTAACATTTTAATTCCAAAGTTAATTTTCTTATCATAATACTTCACTCAAATGTAATGATAGTGAACTCTCTAAGTGTTAATTGTAACAAAAATTAATTAATAGAATAACTTAAAAACTCATCTAACAGAATCACTGCACGAATATTGACACACCTTGGACTTCACAAAGAAAAAGAGATGTGTAATCATTCTCAACACTCCAAATCACTATTATCATTATGATTTTCTCCAATGATTGAAATTAAAGTTTAAATCAAATATTGGAAATTAAATTTGAAATTTCAAAATCTAAAATTTTAAAATTTTGATCAATTCAAATTCATATATGAAACTTAGAGTGAAGTTATTTTTCACTACACTATATTAAATTAAAAGTAAAATTATAAATTTATATAGATAATGTACTAGAAGTTACCCAATTTATTAAAAATTTCATATTATAATTTTTAAAACATAAAAAACTTTTAAATCTCTCGGGACTTGAATTTCGGGTATGAGATCAGGTTCAGGTTTATTATAGCAATACCCATATCCTACCGATATCTAAAATAAAACTTTCGAATTTTACTCATATTCCACTTAAACCCAGTCAAAACCCTAAGTTTCGGATTTGACTGGGTTCAGGTTGGGTACATACGTGTCTGGTCGGGTTGATTTTGCCAACCCTAATGAGAATGAGGTTAGAAAAGAGAAATACATAAATTATCACTATATAAATTGCATTTTCTTAAAATTTGTAGAAAAAGAAACGTGAGAATCTTTTTGGATGGAGGGAATATTTTTTTCCATATGGGGTACAGAACTGAATGAGCTAATTATCTTATAGTCTTGTCTTCAATGTCAATTCTTTTCATGCATCATTTCATTTTGTACCTTATATGCAAGTTCAATTTGTTACTTAATAAATTGCAGTCTATGTAGTTTTCTTGTATGAACTCGCTATTATAGTTTGTTAATTATAGATAGAACTCATCATTATCATCAACTATAAATGTTTTGTTCCGACGATATAATCTTGAATTTCCATGTACCAAACAAAAGTCGTGTAGGATCACTACTAACCAATTGCACACGTCTGGAATTTAACATATTTAATTTTTGTTAGTCTATTTTTTTTTTCCATCTTAAAAACATAATCTTTATCAAGGATTTCCAATGCCCATCATATCACCATCCAACAGCCTGGATTTGCTTGCATCTGAACTTTTTCGCCTTACATGATGTTGTCTACTTGTGTAAGCAAGCATAATCTCAATTATCATGATATTGTCAAGTAGGAAAAACCTTCTTGAAAATCATTAACCTGCTCTTTAGTTAAAACATCATCAATCTTAATTCTTAATTATATTTCCTTGAAGCAAATTAGTTATCAACAAAGCTACTTAAGCAACTCATATATGCGCTTCTTCCTCAAACTCAAAGTGGTTAGATAAAACTTGTATGTTGTTCATAGAATATTTAATTTAATTTGTTTGGTCCATCGATTGTTTAAAAAGGTACTTCAATGGTCAAGCACATACGTGTATTGGAATTTTAATATTTTGAATGCATGCTAATTTTTTAAATGATTGAATGTCAATGGTCCATGTTGCATTATAGTTGTCTCTTATATGTGTGAAAAATTAACTTTGATTAATTTGATTGCGTGGGATTTCTTTTTTATTAATTTGATTCATTTGTATAGATGGCTATTGTTGATTCATTTGTGTACATGAGTAGCATTAAAATTCAAATTCTAGTTGGAAGAACTTACAAATATATCATGGAGCTTAAGTTAGAGCGCATGTAATTACACAAAAATGATGACATTTGTCCTTCTCATCTAATTCTGTAACTTAGATGATATTTATATACGTTTTATTTGGAAGAATTTGCATGGTGCTTATTGCTTATTTAGAATTTTTATGTATTTGTGTCTATTTTACAAGAGTTTTAAATTTTATTGTTGTGTTAATTATTTTGTTTATGGCTTTTTTTTTTTTTTTTTTTAACATGGAGCTTAAGTTAGAGCGCATGTAAATTACACAAAAATTGATTTGGACATTGTCCTTCTCATTCTAATTCTGTAAACTTAGATGATATTCTATATACGTTTATTTGGAAGAATTTGCATGGGCTGCTTTATTGCTTATTTTAGATTTTTATGTATTTGTTGTCATTACAAGAGTTTTTAATTTTAATTGTTTGTGTCTAATTATTTTGTTTTTTATGGCTTTTTTTTTTTTTTTTTTTAAGATTCTTGAAGAAACATATGCAATTTTGTTTAATTTAGAATTTTTGGGCCTTTTTTTTTTTTTTTTTTTAAGATTCTTGAAGAACATATGCATTTTGTTTATTTAGAATTTTTGGGCCTGTGTGATGAAGTACAAACCTGAGGTTTAATTCCTCGACCTATCGATTGAACTTCTCGGAATCCTCTTTAATTGATTGAAAAGGGTGACAGCCCTAAGGAGTCCTTAGAAATAGAAAGCGAACGAGGACTCCCATGGTCATGATTATTGACTAAACTGCCCTTCTTATTTGATTCTCCTTGCCGACTGCGACTCTGAACGAGCTAACATACATGTTAACTGGGTCATGTTGGTTTTTTGGATCTGTATGCAACTCATTTAATCAAAAGGGGCTATGCGTGTCTTGTTTGTGTAACCCATTTAATTCTCATGTTGTGTTATTGTTCAAATATTTGACACGATTATTAAATGAACGGTGTTCATATTGACCATAATCATATCATGTGTTAGATGAATCCATGTTGAGGAAAGGTAACATAGTGGAGTGAGGAATAAATTTATGAGATCTAATTGCATGCAATTCACTTTTCTTCTGCATGTAACGTGTGGTGGAGTTCGTAGACTGTTATGATATTGCTTTTAAGCTATTTATGCTGGATTAATTGGGCATGTGAACTGCATTTCAAAGAGAAACATATGAATGGTCTGTTGAGTTAAGAGTGTTGCATCATAAACAAGTTCTCACACTGGGTTTCAAGTTCTTTTTGAGGTGTTTGATAGGTCATTGTGCTCTCTGAGTTCTGATTGGTTCCCCTATATCTACTTTGGTGTGTATTGGGGAGTGCCATGGAGATCCTCGCTGCTCTAGTTTTAAGGATTTGATTTGTTAGTTTGATTCCTATTGCTTGATGCAATATGTTTCCACTTTCTGGGTATATGTATCGTTACCTTTTTCTTTACACGTCATGTATATCTGCCCTATATCCCTTTCATTATGATATTAAATATGGTTTTATTCCTATATAATGATCTTATCTTATCTAATTCAATAAGAGAACATGGCAGAAATGTGTTCATGTTAGGGTTAGCTTTCTTACATTTTAACTCGAATGCAGGATGTCAGAACCACCTTTTAGACCCCGGGAGAAGCTCCTTGAGAAGCAAAAATATTTCCAAAACATCCACAAGCACACATATTTGAAAGGACCTTATGACAAGATCACATCTGTTGCCATTCCTTTAGCTTTGGCAGCTACTTCATTGTACATGATTGTGAGTCTATTTACATTTATAAACTCTCAATGATTTTCAATCTCTACTTTTGTAAAGAGATGAGTATCATGTTTCTTTATTATAACTTTGTCACACAATGCGTTTTCAGGGTCGAGGGATTTACAATATGTCCCATGGGATAGGGAAGAAGGAATGAGGAGGCTGTCGGTTTAACGATGGGCTACATGTTTTCTGCTCATATTTTGAAGGATTATTTGCTCTTGAACATGGACCAATGTTGTTTCTCAAGGTTATTTTGTTTAGTGCCTTCAATAATTGCATAGTTGCAGACTTGTAGCTACCAATGGAAATTGACACTTCAATCTTGATGGTTTTATTTTCTGAATCCTTAATATTTCATCTTTGAATATCAAGGTCGATACGTTGGCTTAGTCAGTCTTGGCTCGTTGATAAACTACGCGAGACAATTGATACATTTTTCAGTGCATGGCAAGGATCCCATAGGTGGATGACCATTCTCTTATTAGGAAGTATACTAGGTATTCAGTGGGCACTCCAAACCTATGACCAAATTGTCAAAATGTACGTTGGCAAGGTGAAGCCAACTTCAACTACAAGCAGTGCTGACTTTTTAGTAGTCAGGTAAATAAAAAAAATAATTTGAAAATTCAACTAATGGCAATTGAATAGAAAGAATTATAAAAAAGTAATGTAAAACAGGATATGAATAAAGCGATTTATCAACTGCTTTATTCAAAGCATTTGAAGGCAGAGTGGAAATTTATTCGGCTCAACCTACTAAAAAAAAAAAAAGAAAATTACAAATTGTGTATAATAAAAAAAAAAGAGAAATTACAAATTGTGTAGTTTGGGAAAAAGAGAGGGTCTGTTGCGATCCGTCACCTTGGTTGCTCCGGCAGTACAAGGACCTGGGTGTTTTTATTACTCCGGCATCATTAAGATATGGGTATTCTTAAGGCCGTTAAAGCTTATAGTAAGCATTAGGATCTGGATGTTCTTAAGGCCGTTAAAGCTTATAGAAAGCATGAAACATAAATAATATATGTATTTCTGTATTCACGTAGGACTTAGGGCTGGTAATCAGTTTCAAAAAAGAATTATCTTAAATAATTAACAAAATATATATATATATATATTTTTTCAAGTCAAACGGAAAAGTAAGCCATTTTAAAAGGAAGTGTATTCTCCTTAAATGAGAAAAATTTTTTTCTAGATATTAGCAGACTTCGCATAATCTTTTAAACACATTTGTTTAGACATTGATCATCAGTGGTTACTATTATAGACCATCACTAATAATCACCATTCACTAACCTCCAGCATGCTATTCGTCATTCCAAGTCTGCCACCAGCATTGATCACTAATGTCCAACACAATTTATTATTTTTACGCATTTTTTCTCAGATTTAATAATAAAATTTTACAATATGAAATTTTTAGAGTTATATATATTTTTCTAGTTTATTTAATTAAAAACTAGATTGTTGTCACAATAATATCTTTTAATTAATTTTCAATATTGTCACAAAATAACAGAAAATAGATTGTTGTCTTAACCATTAAAGCTTTTACGATTAAGTTTATTTGGTAGGAATTTCTTTGCCACAATGTAAAATTTACTATTGTAACTAATTTTTTTTACTTTATTTATTTGAGAATGAATTGTTATTATTTTCATTGTTAATTTTGCCGTGGAATATCTAACAAAATTAAGAAATATTTAAATATTTAAAAAATATTTAAATAAAATAATTGACAAAATCAGATACTTTTCCTTTTTCTTGTAGAATACAATTTACAAGCGGAATTTGGCTTGGGCTTGTATTTCCTTCTTAGTCAGGAAATCCAGCTTGGTGTGTTTTTTAATCCCTTGTCTGCAACAAATAAATTTCACAAAATTTTTAAAGAATTTATTTAGAAATTCGTATTTTTGTGTTCGGAATGAAAAAAAAAAAAAAGGATTTCAATTTTAAGAATTCAATTCTATGGAATTGAACATAATTATACCAAATCCACAAAAATAGATGAAATTTCCAAATAAATTACACAAAACTAAGTCATCGAACTTTATAAGACAAAACTATCATTCGCCTTCTATAATGTCATTTTTTTCAATTTTTTACTTATTTAAATTATTTATTCTGTCAAATTTGGTCAAAACCATTTAAAAAATTTATTTTTTAGAAAAATATTTTCTTGTTATTGTGTTTTATATTTTAATATTTTCATTTTTTTTGTATTTTTTATTATTGTGGAGAGAGATTGAAGTTCAATACAAATTTATCACTAAATTAAATGTAATAATTTTATTAATATTATTTTATTTTATATATTTATTTTAATAAAATATAAAAAAAGTATATATCATAACATAAATATAATTATTATTTATTATTTATTTTTGTGAAATTACTATTTCAAAGATATTTTAAGAAATAAAAGCAAATGAATTTTCAATTATGAATTTAGAATAAAAATATTTCTTGTTATGGTGTTTTATATTAAATTTTCATTTTTGTTATGTTTTTTATTTATTTTGTAATATAGGATTGGAAGTTGCCCAATTACCCAAATTTATCCTCCTATCTATAAATGTTACACAAATGGTAATTAAATTTTATTAATATTATTTTATGTGTATTATATTTATTTAAAATACAAAAAATCAATCATATATCATAAAATATATTATTATTTCATTTCTCATTAATATTTGTATATATTTACTATTTTTCATAAGGATATTTTTAAGGAAATAAAAGCGCAAATGGAATTTTCAATTTCATTGAATTTAATTCCTATTCTACCCGATTGTGCGGAATATAAAAAATTCCTACCAAAATGTGAATTGTATGAGTAAAAAAATAGAATTCGAGGTACGGAATTGAATTCATATTAAATTACATTTACTCCATAACGGCATATACCCTCAAACCATAATTGAATATAAAATTCTATGGCCTCCACTTCGTATTATACGCAATAAATCACTAATGCTCTTCGTTCCTCCAAATACGCAATTTATGACCCAAATGAGATAATCTTCCTGCCAGACAATCATTTATCTACAATGTCATTATCAAGCATTTTAACACGATCGCATCTTCAACCCCGCCCCCCCCGTTTTCTGCCTATGGATTCACCATGTCACAAGTTGATCCAGCACATATTTAGCAACCCAAAATAATACAGTTGCCGGTATGAAACGAGATGTCGGCACGTTTACTTCCTAGCGTCCATCGCGATTCTATTTTCTTGTCTAATTCGACTACGTCTAGTTGGACGTACCCGGGCCCTCCAATTGGATTTGACCTTGCAAGTGGAAATAATACCTACATGGGCTTTCCACATCGCGGCCAGAGGTTTTACGTCTAGATTGATAAGAGTAACTAATAGGCAAGTCATTAGGCAAAATAGTATACCACTACTGCTCAGCTACTCGGGACAGTTTCGAAGTAGGTAAACAAAATAACTAAATCACCTAAGAACTGTACATGACTAGTTGAAACCATCTCGTCACTGCTTTTATTTTAACACCTCCTACATGTTACACACTACGATAGCGGGCCCCAATGTATCCACTAGATATTACCGAACATTTCATGCCTGACTTGAATCAATCCTGATGAAAGATTTTAGCGCAAACCAGCAGAATTCACTACAAAAGTTACCAACCCCAGCTATAACAATGTATATTGCTAGCGCCATGAGATGAGGACTTCCAAGGAACAACCGAGAAGAAATACGCAAAGTGGGTGTTTAACCAATAATTATCAAAAATATAATTATTATTTATTATTTATTTTTGTGAAATTACTATTTCAAAGATATTTTAAGAAATAAAAGCAAATGAATTTTCAATTATGAATTTATTCTATGTACGATAATCGAATATAAAAATTCATTTACAAATGAATTATAGTAGAATTCGTTTACGAATGAATTTCATATTTTAAATTCATTTATACCAACCCATAAATTGAGATTCTATAAAATGGTGTCTATTTTTCGATTTGGATGAATTGTTGTTTCTGCCAACGAAATGGCGTCCTGCTCTTTGACTCCCAAGCGTCAGCCTTTGTGTTATAGTGGTGGTACCACCATCAACGATATTCCTGAAAGTTTACTGGTTGAAATTGGTCCACCTTCCATTTAAATTAGCCAAGCAATCTATGCTTGTCTCTAAGCACTGGTACGCTCTCATGTCTACTCCTTATTTCACTCACCGCTTCTTTCAACTCAATGATACTTCTACTCTCCTTGTACTCTTTGAAAACTACGAGGAGGGAATCCAAAAACTGTTGGTGATGTCAGAAAAAACTATTTTCTGATCTCCTTACTTACCTTGCGAGCCAGTTGTGGTAGCGTGTTGCCAGGATTTGTTACTGTATAGCCCTAGGCTTCTAGGCCAATCTGTTTATTATATATGTAATCCACTTACGAGAAGAAGGATTGAACTCCCACCTTGTCCTCCTCATGATATTCCATCGGGCCTTGGTTTTACATTCCAAGGCTGTGGGAGTAGTTTTAAGTATGGGGTGGTTAGGATTCCATATTTTGGAGGCCACCGCAATGGCTTTAAAGTTCAGATTTATACTTCTGATTTTGCTGCTTGGAGTGAAAACATGTTTACTTGTAAGACTAAGATCTTTAAACGGTTTTTATTGAACCGTGGTGGCATTCTATATAAAGGTATGCTGTTTTGGATTGCTAATATGGATGTATTTGATGGGTCTAGATCCATATAAAGAAGGTGAATTCCCTCGTTTAATTCATCGACCACCAGGATATAGAAGATTTTCCTTTGCAGTTGACAAATGCCTTTGAGTTTGTCAGGGAAACTTAAGATATCTGGAGACTGAATGGGATGATAGAAAATATTTTTTATCCATTCGTGTATGGGATCTAAAGGATTATGAAGAAGTTGAATGGGGTTTGAAGCATGACATTAGCTTCTCTAGCTTGCAATACAACTACAGTTATTGTTTGATTACTCGGACTTTGTTAATCTGTTTACTTGCAATCCCAACAATAGTGACATTGTGTACCTTGTGACGGGTTTGTGCACAATCCTATTGTGCAACATGCGAATGCAAACAGAGATGTGATATGTGTCGTTGATGATATGCTGAACAATTACTGTTACAATGATGCGTTCATCTATGAACTTCCTTGGCAGCCCACTTCCATCCCTTCACTCCCGCTGCAAAACGGGGCTCATCATGTTCAAGGAAAAGATTAAGCTAACCAGGAGGTGTTTTTCCTCCGGAACACGGTGGTCGTTTTGATCATGCTGCTGTAGTGTGCTCCTTTGTGAAGGAAGTTATGAAAGCTATTGGATTGTTTAAGTTGCATGGCGATGGGTCCTTTTAGCTCATTATCGATGGGCACTTGGACAAGAGGTTTTGCTTGC